GGAGTCAGTGTTCTCAAGCGTGGCCAAAAATATTGTTGAATCTTGTATGAATGGCTACAATGGAACCATCTTTGCATAGTAAGTCATTTAATGGTATTTCATAACAATTGTAATACTTGAGGAGATTGTGTTAATGAGTAGTTGTCACGGTTTAAGTAGTTGCGGTTTTAAGTGCCAGAGCCTGCTTAATGTTACAGTAAGATTTGAAAGTAAGTGCTTAGTGCAGCACGACATAGGGAATGTGACTGTGATATTGAGTAGTACTACTTATTCCTCTTTTGGAGGCTAATAATGTGGATTGTAAACTCATTTCAATTTTACTATTGTTTGTCTAAACCCTAGAAATTCTATTGTACTGTTAAAGAGAAAGCTAGTCACTTTCAATATGTCCATAGTAAAATGGAATGAAAATTACTTTGACTTGATATTTGGCCAGCTCAATTCTTTAGTGAGTTTTAGCTGCCTGGGGGAGAAGTCATGAATGATAATTTTAACTTTCAAAATGTTTTCAAGGTAGAAATATATCCATGACTAGTAGCATGAATATCATATATTAAGTCTCAGTATTTTTTCATTTTGAAAACTGAGTAAGTGCTTTGGTAAAAAATGCTAACTTGAAGGACTGATCTAATAAAACCTTACTGGGGTTTTTAGCCTAGCACAGCATTTGGAAAACTGAAGGGAAATCTACTTTGTTCCAATATACAAATGTGGAAAAGTGAAGTGAAATTGCCCTGAATTTTCTTTAGCATGATTAATCAAGAAAAGTGGTTAAGAAACATATATTCAGCTTTAAAGTATTTTCCTCATTTTGGGTTTGTGAGCTACTGAGTGACACAAAACCAAAAAGATTGAGCCAAAAATTCGTTTAATGTATGTATTTGCAAGCCTTCATTTTAATGCTAAGTTCCACTATTTCCCATTCCAACAGAAATAAGGAAGAAAATGGTGGGTGGCAGGGGAGAGAAAAGGTGATTTATCTAACAGAATTTCATGGTCAAATTTGCTGTTCTATTTTTATACCTTTTTAGCTGACTGGTTTCTCAGCTTGCCTCTGTCTCTCTTATCTTCAGTTTAGAAGAATTTTTTTTTTTTTCATTTTAAGCTATGAATTTGCCTTAAAAGATGCAGATTAATGAATTCAGAGCCAGAATAAAGCTTGATCTGACTTTTGTTTTGTTTTGTTAGTGGCCAGACTGGGTCAGGAAAAACCTTTACTATGATGGGTAAGTGCATGAAAGTGCTTAATCTTTCAGTGGTTTCTTAACGTTTTTCTTGTCTTGAGTTAAAACATCATCTTGATCAAGCATCAGGGTTGATTTAGATTTTTGTCTTCCTGCAGATAACATTAAGGTTTAAGAAATGGTGTAGTCCTCAGTGCAGTTGTTCTTGCTTCATATCAAAAGAGTGAAGTATAGGTACTCTCCTATATTTTTGAAGATAGAAATTGTTCTTCATACAGTGGTGACTTTAAATGCATTAATATTGTACTTGATATTAGAAAGTTACTGAAATAACCAAAACCAGTTTGGCTCACGCATGTTCTAGGGCTACATAGAAATTAACTAAACATGGGGACAAATCCACCCCATCTTTCTGGTTCTTCAAATCGGGGTTAAGGTAGCTGTATTAACATACTTGCACATCTATACATGTTTTCTATGGAATCATAGAATCAGAATGGTTTGGGTTGGAAGGGACCTTAAAGATCATCTAGTTCCAATCCCCTGCTGCAGGCAGGGACACCCTCCACTAGACCACGTTGCCCAAAGCCTCATCCAACCTGGTCTTGAACACTTCCAGGGATGGGGCATCCACAACCTCTTTGGGCATCCTGTTCCAGTACCTCACCACTCTAACAGTAAAGAATTTCTTTCTAACACCTAATCTAAATCGACCCTCCTTCAGCTTAAACCCATTACCCCTTCCCCTTGGAAGTCCAAGTAGTTTATACTTTTTAGACTTAAGTAACCTATGGACAGGTAAAATAAACTTTCATGAGCATCACTTAGACTACATATAAATCTGATTATGGAATATTATCTTCGATCTTGAAAGTTGATTTTATTGCATTACTTCTGTGGTTTTGCCATATGTTGACTAAAACCTGGTTGCTGAAATCTTCTGTAAAGACATCTTGAAAAGATCAACCATTACTCTTGAGTAGTACTAATTAATTTTATTTTTTAATTAAAAATCTCTTCAGGACCATCTGATTCTGATAATTTCACTCACAGTCTGAGAGGTGTAATTCCACGGAGCTTTGAATACTTATTTTTTCTAATTGAACGTGAAAAAGAAAAGGTACATTTATTTTATACTTTTATTGCGGTGAAAGCAATGTCTTGTGTTAAAGATTAGCAAAGGCTGTTTGGTAAGCCAGTTATGTAGCATCTTGCTATCTTGCTTCAAATTTATTAATAAGAAATGCTTGCATCTTGTACTCTACCAAATTATAGTACACTTTCTTCAGACACAAGTGTGCTTATATTTTGAGTCTAAAAATGCATTTAGGTTTCTGGATGTTGGTTGTCATCTGGGCATCAGAAATATATAGTATGCAGAATATATATGCAAACTAGTAGATGTAAAAAGAGACTCCTTGCCATACAATGCCAGACTTAATAAAATCAATCTGTTTATAGTGTAAATTACTGTGTTTTTCAGGCTGGCAGTGCAAAGAGTTTTCTCTGCAAATGCTCATTTATTGAAATCTACAATGAACAGATATTTGACTTGCTAGATTCTGCTTCAGCTGGACTCTTTCTCAGAGAACACATCAAGAAGGGAGTCTTTGTCGATGGTGCTGTTGAACAGGTGTTGTCATCTGCTGCTGAAGCATACCAGGTATTTTTTGTCACTTTGTAATGTTTGAACTATTTATCTGGATGCTTATTTGGTAAATGTTCCTCTTTGATTAAAGTACATATTTTTTGCACAGTGTCTCCGACACCTTCTTCCCCTATCTCCATCCTCCAAAAAACTGTAAAAAAGCTGTTTCTAGGCCATGCTTCCTGACTATCCCACACATGTAAGAAACCATGCATTTCTGGAGGTTGGAATATATGAATTGCAATTACAGTAATCTTTCCTTAATGGTTGCCCTACACATCTCTGAAATAGCAATACAAAACTACATCTCCTTCTAATTAGGCAGCGTGTGTGTGTTCCACAAATTGTCAGGTTTATTTCTCCATGAATGAGACACATACACATAGTACTTCTGTGACTTTAAATATTTTTTCTTGTGTACTGCTAACATACACCAGTACTGGATATGTTATGCTTATGCTTTCAAATAGCAATGGCACTCTTGAAGGAAAAAAGTGAATATCATAATTCGTGTTTTTATTAAGTTGACTGTAGCTACTTTTTTTCACTTTTAAAATAAAAAAGTAGAAAAGTAAAAAAGTCCTTGTCCTTGAGATTTTTGAAAACTGTTGCACTGAAATGTCTTATGTCACCTGTATGTAAATACTGGGTACAGTCTGGGATACTTGATATTATTTGATGTCTTTTTTCATGCTTAGGTATTAACTATGGGCTGGAGAAACCGCCGTGTAGCATCGACCTCAATGAACAGAGAATCCTCAAGATCGCATGCAGTTTTCACTATCACAGTGGAATCCATGGAGAAAAACAATGAGATTGTTAACATTCGGTCTTCTTTGCTCAACTTGGTAGACTTGGCAGGATCTGAGAGACAGAAAGACACCCATACAGAAGGACTGAGGTTAAAGGTTCGTTCTGTAATATGTGTCATCTTCCTAATTCCAATTGTACTGCCCTGTTCCATTCACCATCTGTTCACATTTGTTCTCTTTTCTTTTGTTTTAGGAAGCAGGTAACATAAATCGATCACTAAGTTGCCTGGGCCAAGTAATCACAGCGCTTGTTGATGTGGGTAATGGAAAACAGAGACACATTTGTTACCGGGATTCCAAGCTCACTTTTCTGTTACGGGTAATATATATCCTCTGGATTTTATATGCTATTTGGAAGAAAAAAAAAATAAATGTTTGGATTGGTTTTTTTTACTCTGAGAAGCTGAACTTGGGTACATTTTTAATGTGTTTCAATATTGGGCAGGTGGAAGAAAGCTTGAAAAATACCTTTTTACCTAAACAGACTTCCAGTCGATTTATTGCTGTTAACTGAAGACAAAAAATTTATTTATGCTCATAATCTCCTTTTACATATTTGCAAGTCTTAGAAAGAAGCACATGTTTTCATCCCTATAATTTGGGAAATACTGTGTATCACGATGTAATATGTAGAGAAGTGTTGAAACATTTGACAGGATTTCCAGAATTAGTGTATGTGTGCTAAGTGTTGGTATGATAAGAATTAGATAAATTTATAGTTTCCTACTTGAGAGCTTATGGGCACTTTTCAAGATGAACAGAAAACAGACAGAAGCACTCAAAGATTTGTTGGATGCCAGCACTCACCAAAATTCTGTGAACAATAATGAATAATGTCTAGAGTATATTTTTGTATTGTAACACAAATACTATATTATAACACAGTATTGTTGTGATAAAAAATTTCTCAATCCCTGTTCCATGTATATCTTAGAATCATGAACCTCTAAAGAATTATGTTCTTCTAATGCAACACAAAATACATAGAAATTGGAAGAGAATTGCAACTGTATGAGCCGTTACTTTCTTAACTGGTTATATTTATGTTCAGGTAGTTGTACTGCAAACAAGTCCACAAACATGACCTTCTTTACATGACAGAGAATGCCTTTGAGGCTTGTGGGCTATATTGTAGTACTAGGCTTTTAGAGTCTTAGGTATAACTGCTGCCTTCTCCAGAGATTGACAGCTACTTGTTGAACAGCACGGAGATATTTGAAGACATGCATGTAAAAGGGAGAGGTTCTTTTTATATCCTTGGTCAAGAATCTATTGCTTTGTGATTGTGTTTGTTTGGCAGTTGCCACCAGAAGTTAGGTTGGAACAATCAGCAGACTAGATGATGTTCAAAATAGTGCAGATACTAATCTGCTAATGACTAAGACTGAAGTGAAATACCTACTTTATTCCCTGATTATTTTTTTTCTCTCCCTGCTGTTCAAGTGTAACAAATATCTCAAATAGTTGATGAGCAATAAAGAATAAGGGTTTTGAAAACACAAATAAAGCCTTTATTTACAGTCACATCCTTTACACCCATGTTTGAAAGAAAATTTCAGAAACAAGTAGCATGGAGATTTGTTAAATAAAGTCCCTTCTACAGTTTGTTCAAAGTGATGCACAGTAGCTCTGAGGTGATGGCTTCCTGCTGTAGCCAAAAACATGCAAATAAAGCTAACTTCTATGTTTTTAAATAGGATTCCCTTGGTGGTAATGCAAAAACATGCATAATAGCAAATGTTCATCCAGGATCCAGGTGTTTTGGTGAAACACTGTCCACCCTTAATTTTGCTCAGCGAGCAAAGTTGATTAAAAACAAGGTAAGAGAGTTATTCAATGTCTTTATTATTGCAAGAAACAATTTCTTGTCACTTAAACTGCACGTCTGCAAACAGGACAGCTTCACTGAAATACTCTTGTGCTCTCACTAATTTACATGATTATAACTTATTTTGAAATCCTAAACTTGCTTTCCTAAATGTTTGAGAAATTATTTTTGAAAAGGACTAGTTTGCTTTTGATTATTTAATAGAGTACAACAGCTGGAGAGTAGGTAATGACTGATAATACTGTGTGTTCATTGCTTGTCCTCTGAGCATGTAATTGGAAAAAGTAAGTAAATCTGTACTAAAAATAAAATTGTCATAAAAAAAAATTCAATAGTATTTGAATGCATCTAGTTTTTATGTATGCTAATTCCCAAAACATAATTTCTCATGAGTGGGTTTTGAAAGTAGAGTGGGTTTTGAAGGTATGTTGGCATCTGGCTGGGAACTATTGCCTTTGATGTATACTGCTTATCTTTGGTCAAAAAGTTCCAGAGAAAGTTCTGCAGAAAGCATTAATTTTTTTAACCAATATTTTTAGCTAAAGTGCAATTTACTGGTTTTGCAGTAAATTGAGCATTGCTTTTCCCATGAGTTATTTCTTTCCTAAGATGGAAAACTTCTCGGTAGTTTTGTTGTCTTGCAGTCTTTGACTCTTCTTTTATCCTATAAAATAAAGACTTTTTTTATTTGCACTTCTAATTTTCTCTTAACATATTTATGAAAGGCTGTGGTAAATGAAGACACACAAGGAAATGTGAGCCAACTGCAAGCTGAAGTCAAGAAGTTGAAAGAGCAGCTTGCTCAACTTACTTCAGTGCCGTCTATGTGTGATATTTCCGTATCACAAGGTAAGTGTTGGGAGTGAGGGGAAAGAGAGCTTGCTACTTTTTTAGCCTGGTGTGTTGGAGCCTTACGTAATCCATTAAGTTTCCAAACAATTAATATTTTGGTAGGGACTGATCTACAGAGGTTGTATTTGTCTTATGGATCTCATTGCCTGTATTTGCATCTAATATCTTGCAGAAATCGTTAATGTGATTTTATTTTCTTCCTCTCATAAGTTTATGTACAGGGGTATGTTTCTATTAAAGAATACCTAGAATACTCTTCCAGTTCATAAGAGGTATGCTGCCTAATCCTTTAAGTAACCCAAAGTTTACATGTGATTGCTCATACGTTCATGTTTGAGGGAGGGCAGTAAGGTGTTGATAATGCCCATTGAATCAGCATTATTTTAAGCTTAGGACTAGATTATTTTTTTCCCTTCCTTTTCCCCTTTTGTCCTTTCAGGAGGATCCTAAGAAAGATGTTTACTTTTCAATAAAAGATCAGTTTCAATGTAAGATGGTAATGGGGTTTTTATCAATATGTAGTTTTTTTCTACCAGTAGCTCTTCAGTAGACCACTGTAGCGGCAATATAGATCCCAGTATAGCTTTCTACTATGTATACTTGTCACCGAAATACACTACCTTAAAATGTTTGATTACAAGGTAGTAAATTTGGTCTTGTAACTCTTACTGTGATCCTGAGTCAACCCTTTCCTGACCTTGCCATGAAATAGAAGATACAACAATAGAAGTTACTACAGAATTTAGAAAGACACCTCTAGTATAAAGGATCTATGGTTGAGTTTTTCTAAGGAAAAAGTACTTTTCTGAGCATAGATATTTAACCAGTGAAACAGGGCAGTGATTATGTAGGACACTGAATCACTGTCTGTGAATACACAAATATTAAGAGGGCTGCAAAACATTAGACTTGTGATAGAGCTCTCAGGGAAAGAAAATGATGCTGCTTAAGCACTGAATAGAGGTTTTATGCAGAACCTAATGTGTTAGAGCTGTGTTTAGTCTATGCAGTTAAATCTTGTTTGTAATGTTTGATCACACAAATATGAAATCTGCTTACTAGCTACTTTAAAACCATGATGGCACTTTTAAATATATTAAATTACAATAGGGTAGTTGTTATGCACCTGGATACTATGGCAATTCGTATTCTATAAATAAGTAGTCTTGCCTGCACGAGGATATTCAGGAAAGCTATTTTGAATTAATTTCTGAAGACGATTAGTTAAGCCCTTTTAATCCCTTGTGTGGACACTTTCCTTCCAGATTAAATCACTAATTGTCCAGTTAATTCATGCTTATTTTCCTGAATTTCCTTCTCATAAACCAGTTAGTCCACTTTTAATATGTACAAACTGTAATAATAATGCCAGTAATGGCTTAGTGTTATCAAATAAATTTCAGAGGGGTTTTGCATTTTACAGATATACTTAACTGAGCAAACTGATTCTCTTATTTTAATAAAAGTTCATCGTAAAGCTGTTTAATGCTTGAAAAACTTTGTTAATTATACAATTATGTATATTGACTCTGTTTTTTATCAGTACTTGCAGGTGACTAAGAATTACAGTCTAAATGTCTTTGCTCTGAGTATGGCACATGATCTTAGAGAAATTAGATTGTTTGAAGAATTTATTTAAATTTTCTTTACGCAACTGTCATGTTATGTATTTAGGAAAACCTGGTTAACCTACACTTTAAATACAGCATTTGTTTCTTTGACTTACCCTACAGGTGCTGTTGAAAAAGGGAAGAATACCATAAATTACATGAATAACTTTCTTGAAGCAATGTTGTTCTGGGAGAAATCAGAAGTTGAAAAGAAGGTAAAAAAGCACTAGTATTTCTAAGTGTGTTTTGTGTACTATCTGATGAGACCATATGGAAACTGACTCTCTTCATAATTTTTCTTTGTTTTTGAATAAAAATAGTCTGTCCAAAGGCGATAAGGTTTGGTAGTAAGGGAACTCAAATGACATTTGAGATAGAATCTTTCAAATCCAGACAAGCCATAGGATAACTTTCATAGTATGTTTAGTTTTAGGGGGTGGGGTTTTTACTTGGATTTTCTAATAAGTAATTTGAACAGAAAAACAAACTTTTGTTTTACTTAATTTTAAGTGCACCTTTGAGTGTTTGGATCAACAGTGTGTTTTTTCACACAAACTTCCCAGTCACCCCCATTTTATTATACCATGGCACAGTGCTGAATCATCCAAAATGGATTTTTTTTTGGAAGAAAATTAACTGAAACAGGCACTGTAGGGGTGCATCTGATGTGCTTAACTGAATACTTAGTCTACAGGATCATACTGGAGCTTCTAAGTAAAGTTTTTGCAATATAATGTGTAATTTGTCATTTTGGTATGAGCTGTTGCTCTCTACAGAACTGCTCCAAATGAATGATAGTCTGTGTATTCACAAAATTACTGTTAATTGAGTTTTGCATGATTTGTGTATGTGATATGTGCACCTTAAAAATTCATCTAGTACAACTATCACTTTTTCACCAATCTGTATGTGTTCTTTCTAAGAATTTATTAGAAAAAATTGCTCAACTAGAAGATCTGTGTGCCAAGAAGGAGAAATTTATTCAATCCAATAAAATGATAGTTAAATTCCGTGAAGACCATATTGTTCGCTTGGAGAGATTACATAAAGAGGCTGGTGGAAGTTTATTGCCAAAAGAGCAAGACGATCTCCTCAGTGAATTGAGGGAAGAATTGCAGACACTCAGAGAACAGGTAAGTCTTAGTTTTTCCTTTCTAGAACAATTTTATTTTGTGAGAATAGCTCACGTGAGTTCTGTGATGGGTGGATACAGGCTTTCTGGAAAGACAGGAAAAAAGTGGATGGGTGGTGGGTCCCTTTATAGAAGCATCTCAAACACATGGAGTTTCGCTACAGAAGGGGCAATGGGTGGTTTTAGAGCTTGTGAGTTTATAAGAGGAGAGGCTAGCAAGGGTGATGTCATGGTGGGAGCTTGCTACCGGCCACCTGATCTGGGTTAGGTAGAGGACTAAGTCTCCTTTAAGCAACTCAAGGAAGTCTCCAAATCACAAATCCTCATTCTTATGGGAGACTTTAACCTCCATGACATCTCTTGAAAGGGAAAGACAGCAGGATGCAAGTAATACAGCAGGTTTCTGAAGGATAATAACACAGATGCTAGATGGGCCAATGGGGGTGATGCTGTCCTGGAGCTGCTTGAGGAAGGCAAATAGCAAAGTACGTACCTGAGGTTTCAGGAGAGGAGGCTTCGGGTTATTCAGGTATCTGGTAGGCGTGCTATCATTTGTGAGGTAGTTTTGAAGAACAAAGGAGCTCAAGAAAGAAGGCAGATCTTTAAAAACAATTTTCTCCAAGCACAAGTAGGAAAAAGGAGTTGATGTATTAGAAGACCAGCTTGAATCTGTAGCTCAAGTGAGCTCCAAAGTGAAGGGGGAAAAGTACATAAGTCAGGACAGTCATTAAAGAACTATAGAAACATTACTATGGCATGCAGGGACAGTGTTAACAAAGCCAAAGCTCAAAGTTGAAACTGAAAAGGGATGTCAAGAGCAGCAAGAAAAGCTTCCACTGCTTTATTACCAGTAAAAGAATAAACACATAAAATGTAAACCCACTGTCTTTTGAGAGCAGATTCCAAGGGGAGTAAGAAAACTAACCAAAAAAAAAAAAAAGGGAAGGGACAGTTAACCACTGTAGGGAATACCTTTTTTCCTCTTCTATTACAATGTAATGCTTATTAAAGGTAGCAGAGCAGCAGCTAGTTATGTATAGCATTGTCTGGAAAATAAAAACTGTTAAATAAAATACTGCTTATCACAGATGGAGCAACACCCACGAATTGCAAAGTATGCCATGGAGAACCATAACCTCAGAGAGGAGAATAAAAGACTTCGTTCTTTACAGTCAGTTAAAAAGGCCCAAGAAATTGATGCTCAGACCATCGCAGAACTAGAAAAAGCTTTTTTGGAAGCTTCAGCCACAGAGAAAAATAGTGGAGGTAAAAATATGCTAATGTTTTTCAGCTAAATAAGCTTCCTGTAGCTCTGTTGTGCAGCAGAGTGAAAATGTTGTCTGTCTTGATGTATTTTTTCCACCTTCAAAGTAATACCTGAAGACTGTTAAAACAGATTTACTTCATTTTATTCAGGTTGGCCTTCAAGCAAACACAGCAATAGGGCATTTGGATTCTTGTGCATCTTGTGAACACTATCTATAATCCACAATTTTGCTGTCCTTAGTTGTCATGAAGACTGCAGTAATACTAATTATTCTACTAGTTTTCATGTAGACTCTTGCTAATACCCATGTTCTTCAATCTCAGTTGCTACTATGCTGTTCAAAAGCCTACAAATGCTTTCATTTTAGTAAAACTTACAATATTTGAGCTGCTCTGTGATTTCAGAGGGTATATGTTTGTTCTTTAGGTCACCATTTATATTCTACCACCATATCAGTGGAAGGCAACTCACTGGCATCTGTTGAAAGGCTGAAAGCACGCCTGCTACAGACTCAAAGTGAACTGGCAAGTTCAAAACAAGAATATGAAGAATTCAAAGAGCTAACCAAGTGAGATAAAACAGTATAGAAATGTCTTTAAATAATTACTTATAATGGTTTTTAAAAGTTAGTCTCAGATCTTGAATATACAGCCTAAGTATGTTCTTTGTATGTAAGAGAGGGCCAGGTTAAGAAAAATGGCATGCACACAGAATATGTTCCTGTTGAACTTGGTTACTCCTAGACTAGGAAACAACCACGATGCAATCTGAAGGCATGTTTGCACTGTCGCAAATTTGTCTTTCCGAAAGCTTTTCTTTACGCTAAGATGCAAAACAATGCTTCATAACATGCAGGAGATGCACATACCCAGAAATTCAGATAGTTGCCTGCTTAATGGGACAGGGAGAGTTTGGCTTAGTTTCCATCTTGAGCAAGTATTTTTCAGTAACTGAAATACTACAGGTGGAAGCAGTGACAGGAACTAAGAGTTGATCAGTTTGGGGGGTTTTGTTTTCAGTGCAACAGTAGTTTTTAATATAACCTCTTTAAGATTGCAAGTTTGAGTCACCATAAATGTAGGATCTAAGCACCCCAGAAAATTTTGGCTAATCTGTTGGTTAATTTTTTGTCTCCACCTCAAAGATTTTTAAGAAGGCAATAGTACTGCTATCCTGGAACTTGTTATTGGAACAAAGATTTAATTCAAGCTAGAGCAAAGACATGGTGTAAATAGTTCATTCATGTCCATTTGCTTTGGCATCTAAACATGAGATAAGGGTCTACTTTGTCCTTACTAATCTAGTAAAGAATTTACTTTTATTGTTCTCCTTGAGGGCAGCATAAGATAATGCAAAAGGCCCAAGTAATACCTTCAGTGTGTGTGTATATATATATATTCATATGCAAGTGAATAATACGTGGCTCAACTTGATCAACCCCATTTCTGAAAACTTCAGGTCCTGCTACTGGAGATACAAAAAAAAATAAATAAATATTGCATTTCCAGCAAACATAATGTAAACCTGGAAGGCAAAGGGGACCTGATTTTTTTTTTATTATATTTATTTTTAGCTTGTACCTGACATTGCTTTTTATTGATTTCAGTGAATCTAGACTGTAATTCTGCAAGCATTGGGCACAAGATATTTCCATTTTTGCCTCCCCACTTTTTTGGGTTTTTTGCAAAGTAGCTTTTTGTCCTTTTTGCTTATTCAGGCAATTGTACAAACCTATATTTTTATTCTTGGATTTCTGTGTAGCAAATCCTATGAACTTTATAAATTGTAATATTACAATATACTGAGTTCATCAATTCAGCAATCCATCTATTGTCCTGTATCATTAGTTACAATGATTTATTTATGTCTGCATGTATTAATTACTTAATTTTCCTGCCCATTCGATGTATTCCTATTTCATATATTCCATGTTTTGTGCATATTTTGCTTTTTTGATAGTGTGTAGGCATTTTTATTATCAATTACTGATACTTTCTTAGTGCAGTTCAGTCAAACAGAAGTGTGCCTTTGAGACTCTGGATTCATCTCTGGATTTTACTAAATTTTAGACTTGTTTCCAGTTTGAGTAACAGGATGCTTAATTTTACATGCAAGTGTAACTGAGTAAGTAGAGTAAAATTAAGTTTCACAAAATCAATGTATGCTAATTTTTCTGTTGTCCAATAACAGTCAGACCTAAAGTTCTACTCTAAGTTTTGTTGCAGACGCTAAATTCATGAGGGAAAGTGATAGCATTAAACTACCAAAAGATGAAATAGTATATTCCCTTCTGTCTGTAGACTTTGACCCTACAATTACATCAGTAAGGCCAAATATCACAGTAACAGCATGTAGTTCTGCAAAATACGTGATGAAAATTATTCCTAAATTCCTGCTCAACTGTTGGATTTTAGTTAAAGTGCTCTTAGAGGGCAAAATAATTTTAACAGAGCAGCACTCTAAAAAAAAAAAAAAAAATCTTTAAAGGATTTTCTTTAATCCTGGAAAGCAACAGTTCAGACTTCTCATACAACGGGATAACATTTTTACAGCTTAAAACCATATTGGTATGGGTGATACCACTTTCTCATAAAAGGAATTGCAGAGCGCTCAGCTTATTTCTGACCATGTAATGGATTTTTTTCTGACCCGTTTAGTTATCTATCTGCTTTCTTCATTATGCAAGCACAAATAAGCTTCTTAAGGTTTTAATACTTTTTTTTTTTTTACTTTTAATACATCATGGTGGCTTTCTTCTCAAAATAATGTATTTCAACACTTGTGCAAGACTGCAGCTTCAGTTTACTCATTGGCAATACTGCAGTTTATTCTTGCTGATAGAGGGCATACTGATGGACTGGTTTTGACAGTAGGAAAATACTTCCTAAATAGGAAAAAGCATATGGAACTGGAATCAGAGCTTCAATCCCTTCGGAAAGCAAACCAACATCTCGAAAACATTCTGGAAGCAACCAAAGCACACAAGCGCCGAGAAGTCTCTCAGTTACATAAACTACACAGAGAAACTCTGACGGTATGAGAATAAGTTTATTTAAAACCACACATACTTACTCCTGAGGTGTGTGAGAACATAAACTTTCATTTGTACAATCCCTTAACCTAACTAGTGTTCTGGCATGTAATCCATATGTGATAAAGCAGATACGCTGCTTTTTTTTTCTGAAATATTTACTGAATGACTGCTACTGCAATCAGATGACAAATGTGAAAAAGTGTAGTGGTTTAGAACTAACAACTCTGAGCATTTTATTTCATTATTCTGCTTATAAAGCTATGAAATACAATACCAGACAAATTCCATTTTACAGTTAAATAAAGATTGCTTTGTAATCTTTATAACAGAATATAACCACTCCAACAAAGGCTTACCAGCTAAGGTCTCGCCTAGTGCCGCGAATAAGCCCAGAAATCTTAGATTATCGTTCTGAAGATTTTCAGTGTTCCAGAGAGATAATGGATGACATTTTGAAGGAGCCCATTCCCCCACAGATGAATGAACAAGCATATGAGGCCATTGCTGAGGAGCTCAAAGTGGCACAGGTGAATGTTCTGAATAAAAACTGAAGTGTATGTGTAACTTTACTATAAAGTGGGTTTTGGCATGAAATACTTCCCTCTCCCCAAATATATTTTAATTTGCATGGGAAACTGAAGCTCTTGATGAATACTTAGGGATTCATTAAACAGTTCTCTAATTGTACATTGCTCTTAAGAGGACTTGCAATGAAACACCTTGAAAGGGATTTGAGAGTTGAATATTGTAAGTAGTTTAAGATATACAGGGCATTTAAACGTGTACTATTTTAACCTGATAACTTCTTTCTGAGGAATCTTCTTTATGAGTCTCTGGTGACAGCTACATTTAGAACAATACCCAAGATTATTATATAATACTGCATGATTTAAATAAACCTGCCAAATATTGCTTGTCTGTCGTTACACCCTAATTGTATCCTTCCTAAAGGGCAGGGAAGGTCTTTTGTCACATAGAAAAGTGCTATGAAGTTATCTGAACCCTGGCACAACAGCCAAAACCCCTCTTTGATGCTTACCATAGTGCAGAGATCCTGTAAGGAATTTAGCTAGTATATATTTTGAATAACTTCTTTTTAAAGCCTTATATCTCCAAGATAAACGTGTCTGAAAACTAAAAGTGTTTATTGGATTCAGTCCTTGTATTCCCTGACGGATTTTCCTGTGTTCTGGCAGTTTACTTAGCAATAGGAGAAATCAGCTACTTAAGATACCAGTTTATTTTTGAATGTTCTGTTTTCTGTTGGTTCAGGTCATGAAAAAAAGAAAGTTGACATTTTTATATTTAATATGCACAGACTGCCATATGGCATGTGAGAATAACTAGAAGATGGGTGTTCTAATTTTGAGTGTCTGTTGTGTCACAGGAGCAACTGAGCGCAAAGCAGACAAAGCTGGATGAAGAGGAAAGCAAGAATATAAAACTCCAGCAGCATATTAATAAACTGGAGCATCATTCTGCACAAATACAGGAGGTGAGAGAACAATATAATGCAGATATATATGACAAGGTCATATCCACCATACTTGTATCACTGTGTTGTCTAGTGAGATCTCCAGTGGTACTTGCATTTTGACTTTTGAAAAATGTACATAGTTTCATAGTTCAGGGCTGTGCAGGAAGACAAGGACTTCACTTAACATAACAGTGCAGGTTTTGGGTTTTTTTTTTTTGGTTTTGTTGTTTTAAATGTTGTGATTCTGAGTCTGCTTAATCTTAAATACAAGCAAATAAACACTCAAGATGCCTGTGCTTGGTTTTGGCCAACTTCATGATTTCTGGAAAACAGCAATAGTCACAAGGAAATTTTAAACTTTGGAATGCTGAAAATACTACCTGCTGCAGTTGGAACTGAAGTGGAACATCCTTACTCTATAAAATATTTACAAGTCTTCCTTAATTGCTAGGTTTGATTTAACATAGAAAAGGAAATAAGGCCTGTTTTCTTCCCAGATCAGTCTCATTTCTGATAGGTCTCAGCTCCTAAGCTGTGGTTTGCTTTTAAATGAACTTTTTAGATAAGGTAGTGTTTTCAGTTATGTCGATTTGGCTTTGTTGTGTGTGGGTTTTTTTTTTTCTTGGACTTCCATGGATTTCAGATTCACCAAACATCAAATTTAAAGAAAAATGCATCTTGTATTTATAATCAGCTGATTAAATGCTCTAATACATTATTATTGTTACAGCTCTGTGACTTCGCCATTCCTATGTTTCTTTCCATTTACAAATTTTACTTCTCTTCTCAAGCTTCTTTCATCTGAAAGGAATAACTGGAGTAAAGAGCGCCAGGAGCTCCTTGAACAGATAAAATCACTCGAAAAGCAATATCAAGACAGTCAAAGCAAGACTGATAGTAAGTCTATGTAGCACTAAAATTCCATATGAAATTCAAGGTGTCCTAATGTTTTGAATCAACAATAGCATATGCTGAGTAACTATTTGGGTTTAAGATGTTAAAGTCATACTGGTTTGATTTTTTTTTTAAATTTTTTTAAAAGAAAAAATCTCTAATACTTACAGAATAGTTTTTCTCTGTCTAGTCTTGGACCATATACAATATTGAAAATTGTTCTTTGTTCATTCTGAATGGGAAGGGAGTACACGATAGAGTATTTTATAAAGAAAATATTAACTAAAAATAAAGGGACTATCCTCTATTGGTCTATGGAAATGCAGTGCTGGAATGTTTTGTTTTGCCTGTACTCTTTAGTTCTTAAAGGTCAATGAAACATTGACTTTTCCACTTACAAATCCTTTTTGTGTGTGACCTTCAAGGTTAATTCCATTGAAAATGTATAAAGTTTTGAGAGACTTTCCCAGGATGTTCTGTAGTGTTACATGTCCTGTATCTAGCACAGTTTTCTAAATAACATGTAAAAATATTTGTTTGGGTTTTGACAGTATTAAAAAGTGAAGTCTGTGACTTGCGCATTGTCCTGCAGTCTGCAGACAAGGAGCTGTCTGCTGTAAAATTGGAATATAGTGCCTTTAGGGAAAAGCAAGAGAAGGAAATGAGTCAGCTTTCTGGTAGACATATGGATGTACAGTTCCAGCTGGACAGCGTCAGGTATGTTGGCAATTTGGTAAAATGCCTTAACCTCCCTTCTGGATGCATCCAATGATTTAGCTCTTTTCTGCATGTGAACTTGCATTTTACATCTCTTATTTAAAGTTATTATTTTGCATTTATGTCCTTTGCTTATTTTTTTCTCAAGTCTTTCTATGACTATTTCAGAGCCATGAGGGGGAACATGGTGAAATTAGCCTAACTTTCTTTTATTTCTGCTTCCTTAATTTTGGTTTGCGATAGCATTTTCCCATTAAGTAGGATATACCTATAAACTTTTTGATCTCCAAAAGTTAAGTGCCTGAAGAGGCATAGTTTGTTTAGTTGTTTTGGTTTTCTTTTCCAATTTAGTCTTAAAATTTAACTGTTACTTCTCAGTCTGGTCACACAAAGCAGATGTGACATAACAGTGCTGCTCTAAAATACAAGCTGCTCTATACAAGCAGAAAGAAACCATAAAAATAAACTGAAGTTTGACTGCTGGAGCCTGAAAAGCTCACTGTGTTGTATGCAATAATTGACTTTATTGGGAGATGAAAATCAATGAGGTTTTTAATCATTAGTGTGACAGTTATGTTGGGTTTTGTTGGTGGTATTTTTTTGTTTGGTTTGGGTTTTGGTTTTGTGGTTGGTTTGTTGTTTTGGTTTTGTGGGGTTTTTCCCTGGAAAGCTTAACTATGTTGTTGTATTATAGTGGGTCATGTCTTCACTGAAGTCATTTGAGTGATGCATTGTAAGACTGGGAACCTGGAATTGAAATTAAATGTTGTGGTTTCATTGATGCCTTCTGTGTTAACAGAAGGACTGACTTTTTGGAAGATCTTCTTTCTATAGGCTCTCCATTAATAACATGATTTGTAACGCTTGTCTAGCAGATCTTCTACCCCTCTTTGCTTTTCACTTTTGTGAAAGATCAAATGAAATAAGTTTTCAAGGCAATAACTTAGAGGTAAATAACCCAAACTTGCTCAGAATATAGAAATATTTTATATGGGATAAATAACCCAGATATCAACTAAGCAGATGACAACTCAGGATCATTCTTGCAGAGTCTTTTGTCTAACAACTGGATTAAAAAATAATAATAAAAAAGGGGGAATTATCAAGACAGTGACTGAAATTTCCATAGAATTTTGTAAAAATTAAATTATTTCTAGGGATCAGTACTCTGCATTCTCTGCCCATGCCACTTACATTTCCTGTGCCGTTCACAAATTTGGGGTTTCTGAGTTTATGAAAAAAATTACCATTTATGTCAGTCACTTCTTTCTAAAATAACTACACTGTATATATTTATAGAATCGTATCACGGAATGGTTTGGGTTGGAAAGGACTTTAAAGATCGTGTAGTTCCAACTCCCCTGCCATGGGCAGGGACACCCTCCACTGGACCAGGTTGCCCAAAGCCCCATCCAACCTGGCCATGAACACTGCCGG